GTACTAAAACATGCAGAATTATTATTATTATTATATTATTATTTTTCTTTTGGTACCAGGTATTGAACTGAGAACCTTGCACTTGTGAGGGAGTCATGGCACCACTGAGCTAAATGCCTGGCCCATGAAGAATTATTAATGAAGGAAAATCTGATGCCAACAGAAAATATCACATTGGGCCAGGGATTTAGCTCAGTGGTGATGTGCCTGCCTTGCAAGTGCAAGGTCCCAACTTTGATCCCCAGTACCAGAAAAAAAGAAAATATCACATTGATAATGAAAAGTGTTTCAGTAGTGTGACTAATATGTCATTATTTACCATTAATAAGAAATGTTAATTAAATGATAATTAACTGATACTGGGAATAAAGGAAGAACAATTGCTCAAAACTTTTGTTCTTAAGATTGCTTAGCAATTAGAGATACATATTTTACATGTCTATTCTTAGTGTCAAATTGAACTGGATGAAAAGCATGAATAATTAGAATAAAACTAAATGTCCTGGTAAGCTTGTAGAATTTAGCAAGTTAAAAAAAAATTAGCCTCGATGTCCTAAGTGCTAACTTTTCAAGATAAGACTTTCTTAAGTGTTAACTCTGCTGTTGCAGTATTTTTTTGTGTGTATTTGTGGTGGGGCTTGAACTCAGCGCCTTACACATGCTAGGCAAGTGAGTGATCCCTGAGCTAATTCCCCAGCCCAGTTTTAAGTTTTAATTGAAAAAAAATTTAAAGTCTCAAAATAACATCTCTGCAAATGTGGCTTCAAAGACCTATAAAAGTGGCATGATCAAACATTGTGTGAATATTTAAATTTTTAAAATTTATTACAGTAAAACACATATTTCCATTAATTCCCCTCAAAATACTACCCTCATTTTGAACACACTTGTCCCATTGTTTTTGCCACTTTCTGAAGTAGTTCTGGAAGTATTCTTTCATGTCTTTCAAAGTGTGATAAAAAATAAGAATAAAAAAAAAATACAGTGAATGTTGAGTGCCATCCGATGGAAAGGTACATTATGCCTTCATTATGGTGTGTTATCCACTCTACTCGGTGGACCTGGCAATACACAATTGCTGGCTCTTTCCTGAAATCAAATGACTATGAAATGTAAACTTTTGGAATCTGTTCAGGACATTCAGGTGGCTACAATAGTGCAACTAAAGATACTCATGAAGCTCTCCCAGAACTGCTTCAGAAAGTGGCAGGAATGATGCAATGAACTTGTTCAAAACAAACAGGAGTGTTTTTAGGGGGATTAATGCATGGAATCTTTTACTGTGATATATATATATTTTTTTAATTTAAACATTCACTGTATTTTTAGATCACATCTCATAGTTGTCTCATTACTCTTTCTCGTTTTTTTTTTTTTGGTACTAGGGATCGAACTCGGGTCCTTGTACTTGCAAGGCAGGCGGCAGAACCACTGAGCTAAATCCCCAGCCCTCATTACTCTTGTTTTTTTTGGTACCAGGGACTGAACTCAGGTCCTTGCACTTGCAAGGCAGGCCACCGAACCGTTGAGCTAAATCCCCGGCCCTCTCCTCATTACTCTTTCTTGATCTAAAATATTTCTCCAACTCCTCATTTGAACTATACTGTAATTTTTTGTTTCGATTTTTTTGGTACTGGGGATCGAACTTAGGACCTTGCACTTGTGAGGCAGGCGGTGGAACCACTGAGCTAAATACCCAGCCCTCCAACTTCTCACGTGCTAACAATAGTTGGGCTTAGCAGTACGTGGTGGCACATGTCTATAATTCCAGCGAAACTCTTGTCACAAAATTTTTAAAAAGGGGTAGGGATGCAGCTCAGTGCAAAGGCCTTGAGTTCAGTCCCCAGTATTGGAAGAAAAATGAAGTTGAGCATAAAGGACAAATGCATGAGAAGGTTAGAAGAAATCTTAAGAGAAAAACTAAGTCAAAAGGTCCAGCCGAACCAAAGGTCCAACCAACACTGTGACTTTTGGACGTGGGATACAAAAAAAAACGAAGGGAGTGGACAAAGCTGAGGAATAAACATCCTGAGCACACTCTCCTTCCAGGCATAGATCTTCCCCACGCTCCCCTCTGATTCATTTAGAAATTGCACGGTATCAGGCTCTTGGATACAGCACAATCAGCCTTCAGGAACACAGAGAGAGAGTGTGTAAGGAGGAGCAAACAAAAGATAACTCGTACACCCACCTAGAAAGAGAAAGATGTGAGCTGTCTCATCTGGGAAAACACTTTCCAAGCCCCATAAATGAAACCAATAGGAATGAGAACGCAAATAAAGGTGAACTAACCTTTTCTAGCTGATCTAGTTTTTCTGACCATTCCTAAAACAAAACAAAGTAACAAAAAAGTAGTTTTCAGAGAAGAGTATCTATAATACTAAAAACTTTCAGAAAACAAACAATCCAACTCTCCCCCAAAACAACCAATCAAGCAAACAACCAAAAAAATAAAAATAAAAAAACCCCAAAAAACAAAAAAACCAAACAACAATAAACACAAAATTCCCATACACTTGGCTTAATGTTAATAAAACAGAAAGTCCTCAAAGGACACAATATTCTAGAATGCAAATATAAGCCTGCAGATATTCACGAAGGAGGGCACCAAACAAAGCTATATCTTCTTTCAGCTAATTGCTGAGCGTTTCCCATGGATGTTGTTTAATTTCTTGGGAGTGGGTAGCTGGAACTGGCTGAGCTGGGTAACCCTGCAGTTTATGTTCAGAAATTAATTTAAGGAAAGTAGTAGGGAGCATCATTAGCAGTTCCTGATAATTATTTTCCTTTTCATCGTGACTTTACAAACATGCTTTATGCCTTCTGGATCAAAGGAAACAGGATTACATCCCTATTAAAAACCATAAAAAAAGGGGAAGGGAGTAACCACTGGTACAAAAGGCCATATCTCTATCACCTTCAATCAGAATGTACCAACTGTAGATTGTTTCTTCATTTGGATATATTTATATGATAGTTACCCACTGGGTACTGGTGAATGATTTTCCCCCCTCTGGCTAACAAATGCTCTAGATGACAAATATACACTTTAAAACAAACTATTCCACTTCCTATAGATGAAATAAATTATGCATTTTTCCAAATCAAACATAATAAACTGACCCTGTCTAAATAATCATCATTACCATAAAACATTGATGCTTATCTTAAATTTAAAATGCCATTGATTATATTGAGCAAAATATTCTTCATAATTACTGTGATAGCTGGTAATCGTATTGTTTCACCTTCTTGTCATTATTTCAGCATCTTTCACTGTGAGATTAAGATGCTCTCTGCTTACTTGGCTGGGACTGAGGAAACTCAGGAACTGGAAGAACTATGAATAGTCTTACTAGCATGATAGTAAATTCTTCATCATAAAAGACAAGGACTGGGATACAAGGATTTAGCTCAGTGGCACTGCACAAGGTCCTGAGTTCAATCCCCAGTACCCCTTTCCCCCACAAAAAAAGCAAGTGCTTGGGGTCTAGGCCTGAAACAAGTTTTTAGAGGCCACAGACTTTATCTTTATCTGGGAGCTCACCACTAGGTTAGAAAACCACTATTTTACAAAGGTCAGACACAGAGAATGATACATTCTGGACGCAACTTGTGACTAAAACTATAAAGTTTGACTTTATTTGTTCTTTGTTTGTTTTGGGTTTTTTTTAGTTTTTTTGAGACAGAGTCTCACTATGTAGTTCAGACTGACCTGGAACTCACTACTAGCCCAGGCTGGTCTCAAACTCAGTGATCCTCCTGCCTCAGCCTCCTGAGTGCTGGGATTACAGGCATGTGCCACCACACCCAGCTTAAAGTTTGACTTTATAAGAAAAAGTCAAATAAAACCTTAAAGAGCTTATTATTTTGTCCTAGGTTATAAATATTTTCTACCTATTCCAGTTTTTGAAATTTTTCCACCAGTCTTGGGCAGTGCCACATATAAAATACCTGGTCCTGGGCTGGGGATTAGCTCAGTGGCACCATGTCTGCCTTGCAAGTGCAAGGTCCTGAGTTTGATCCCTGGTACCACAAAACAAAAACAAAAACAAACAAACAAACTACCTGGTCCTTTCTGGCTAATGCCAAAGCCAGTCCTTCTGTCATTTTGGCTCTGTTGGCTTGGAATGCTTCATTCTGCTCTTGAAATTTCCGCATGGAAGCTGTTAATAAAGAGGCTCTACTTGAGGTACAGAAATACTGCAGAAATAGCATGATACTTTATGCGATCACAACTATCATCAAATGAAAAAGGCTAAGGTCACATTAAGTGGATCATAAGAATGAGAGAAACCTACTCCATCTTGACTTTCCAAAAGAACCCCTCGGTCTTGGTAGAAGACAACAGATATGTTCAGTTCCTCATTGTTTTTGGGTTTTTTTGGTACCAGGGATTGAACTCAAGACTTCGCACTTGCCAGGCAGGCACTGTACCACAGAGGTACATCCTCAGCCCTGTTTTTGTTTTCTGTATAGTGAAGTATACACAATTAAGATGCCAAAATGTAATTTTTAAAATGTACGTACGACAAAATACTTAAGGTAGGTGGCCAGAAAACACCATTGCTATTGCTAAGTGCCAGCTTCTACTCCTTCACCATTAAAAACAAGCAAAACAAAAATAAAACAACTATCTTTAGTTTTCTCTAAAATTTTACAATATATCAGCAAAAAGTGACTTTCTATTCCAATTAACACCTTTCTTGGTTTTACTTTTCTTTTTTTTTGTACCGGGAATCAAACTTGGGCCCTTGCACTTGTAAGGCAGGTGGCGACCACTGAGCCAAATCCCCAGCCCCTAGCATCTTTCTTGGATAGTACCCAAAAGAGAACATATAATCTAGGGTAGATTAAACAGAATATTCCATTACTGGAGGAGGCATGACAGAGCTTTCCCCTAGTTCTCAACACACCAGTAATGTGGCTGTGGCTACAGCCATGTACTAACCTAAGAGCAGCCAACAGATGAGTCAACTTGATAGAGCAAGCTGATGTACACAGTGGCCCCTCCTCAGAAGCATGCTCACAAAACAACATAAATGCAAATCATATGCTTAGTAAATATTCAACTAATGTCATATCAGGCTAATGAAGATGTACACTATAAAATAAAGATGTGATAATAATATACAATTGTTTAATTTCAAAAATTAAATCCTGAGAAGATTGAAAAAAAGCAGGAAAAAGAAATACGTACAATCCTGGTGTTTTTCTAATGCAATTTCAAGCTTCTCTTTTATCTTCTGCAAGTTTCGGACCTGTTCAGCATAGTCTTGGGTGAGGAGGGTGATGCACAGGAATGGACAAACATCAGGAAAGGAAGTTAATTAAACCAAAAAAATGAGTGAAAATGATGATGATTTTTTTCAACATAAATCCTGTTAAGAAAAGCTAGACAGACAGCCTTTCACTAACGATGAATGACACAGGCAAACAGGTATAGTACAAACTGTCCATGGTACAAATAGCGAATACAAACAGGCAGATTTGTTTAGCCATTAAAGAGAAATAGAATTAGGCTGGGCCTGAACATCAGAAATGCCTTGCTCTGAAAAATACATTATCTCACCACTTATTTTCAAGTCTCAGTGTTTATTTACCTCAGTGTTTTGGCTTTAGGAATAGGAAAAAATAAAGGGAACTCAATGAAAGATCACTTACAGTCTACATAACTGAGCAACAGTGTTTTTACAAAAATAGTAAATGCCTTAGCATGGTATCATTTTTAAGGTGAAGTACTTAATTCTCTACAAAAGTGAGCACTCTTTCTACACAGGAACTAAGTTTCCTATGCTATACCAAAGGTGAAAATCAGAACTAATTACCTGGGTGGCCAAAGAAGATCATACAGTATACTGAAAAAGTAGACAATACCCTGGGGCAGTGCTTAGTTGGGGACCTTCAGCAAATTATTGATCCTAAATACTAGTTTCTTCATAATTAAATAATGATAATTGGCCAGGCGTCGTGGCACACGCCTGTAATCCCAGCACTCAGGAGGCTGAGGCAGGAGGATCGCTGTGAGTTTGAGACCAGCCTGCGCTACATAGTGGGTTCCAGGTCAGCCTCAACTACATAGTGAGACCCTGTCTCAAAAAAAACAAAAAATAAATAAGTAAGTAAATAATGATAATTGTATCTACTTCCAAGAATCCATTAGACAATAAAGTATTTTATATGCCTTAAGTAATTGATGTACAGAGCTCATTAACAAGTAGCTGTTATTGTTATTATTCACACAATAACAGGTCTTGCCTGTAGAACAAGACTCAGAACTGAATGATTGTCAGCTCTCTTTCCTGTCACTTTACTAAAATAAATCAAGCTCAACTGTCCTTCTTTCTGTACCAGGGAAGGTACATATTACTTTAGAACTAACTTCCCAACATTAGACAAATATAAGGTAATTCCTTTTTTTTCTTTTCTTGACACTGGGGATAGAACCCAGTGCCTTTGCACTGAGTTACAGCCCCAGCCTTTTTTATTTATTTTCAGACAGGGTCTCAGTATGTTGCTAAGTTGCTCAAGTTGGGCAAACTTGTGATCCCCCTGACTTACCCTGGGGGAGTAATTTTGTAACTATTACTGATGTCATTTACAGGTAAAAGTAATGGGAGAATAACAATTGAGTTTAAAGCAAACTATAATTAAGAGCATGGACTTCGGCACCATCAAATCTGGGATTAAATCCCCAGCTCTGCTACTTACAACTTGTTTAATCTAAACTTTGCTAAGCCTAGCAAGGCTATGTTGAGGACAAGTTGATTAACTAATAGTTGTAAACTATGTTTTGCATCCTTTGAGAGCTATATGAATATAAGTATTTCACTTATAATTTGGGGCATTTTGGTCTACTGCTTTTACTCTCACAGATGAGGCATAAAGCCAAAGGATAAAAAGAGACACAGAAGCCATGGACCACTTCACAGGATGAAGCTGTCAAAATGTATCTACTGGCAGATACCAAAATAAGAACTGATAATTCTATTACAATCATGCTTGCTCCAACAAAGGATATAATAGGAGAGGTGTAGATTGTAAACTACACATAAATATGTAATAAGTTATAACTTCTACAAGAAGTGGGTATTGAACTTAGAAATACCATTGAACTGTGACCCAAAGACCCACAGTGATACTTCCACTTCCTTTCTAATGAGATGAAAGCATTGTATCAGAGTAAGTGTATAGTTATCCTATAAGTCTGTTTTTTTTACAGAGTCAGGCAAGTCTCGTATTTACTATTTATGATTTATTTACTATTTATTCTAGACATACCAGAAAGTCTGGCCTCCAACTTCCGTATCTGTTCATTTCTTCTCAGAAGTTGGGATGAAAGATCCTCTCTAGAGCTGCTTCCATCAGAAGCCTGTTGGGACAGGGGAGAGGTCAGAGTGAGACAGGGTTTCCAGCAGTACCACACTAAAAAAAGACTATCTTAAATTTGGTTATATGTTAAGTAATTGTGATCACTGAAAGGTTTAACTAGCCCTAGCTCTTCTACCTGAACAGCAGAAGTGACATTATATCCCTCTATAACATGAAGGCAAGGAGAAAGGCCATGCTAAACAAATAAGCCATGTATATGTGTGCAACTGAAATAAATGATAGTAAATCAATTTGCTAGGATCATGCTATACCAAGTTACATGAAAAAGAAATCATAGCTGGGGATTTAGTTCAGTGGTGCTGCTGCCTGCCCCGCAAGTGGAAGGTCCTGAATTTGATCCCTGGTAAAGAAAGGAAGGAAGGAAGCAAGCAAGCAAGCAAGCACATTATCTTTCAAAAGGTTAAATTCCTGGGATAAAGGGAGGAAAGTTTTTCAACCAGGGATCAAAATCTTGCCTGTGACGAAGAATCTATCCTGATACTAATAAAGCTGGAGTACCTTCATCTATTAACTATTGTGATGTCAATCTAAATCTCTAGAGTTTACACTTTTGACTGAGTTGACACCAAGAATTCACAGGAAGGAAGGGTTAAAAAAGCCTCTAATGTCTTCAATATGTATCCATTTTCCTATGAATGAATCTATTTTCTCGTTCTTTGTGACTGAATAATATTCCATTTTATAGAAAAACCACATCTTCTTTATCCGGTCTCCAACTGATGGGCAAACGGGCTGTTTCCAAGTTTTAGCTATTACTAAGTGTGTCGCTATAAACATGGGTGCGCATACTTCTCTGTGATATGATTCTTTTAGTTCTTTTGGAAAGATACCCAGCAGAGGGATGGCTGGGTCAAATGGAACCTCCAGTCCAAGCTTTTTGAGGTATCTCCATATTGATTTCCATAGTGGTTGCACCAGTCTGCAGTCCCACCAACAATGGAGAGGGTTCCTTTCTCCCCACAACCCCTCCAACATTTGTTATTGTTTGATTTCTTGATAGCAGCCATTCTTTGTGGGGTGAAGTGAAATCTCAGTGTTGTTTTCATCTGCATCTCTCGAATGACCAGTGATGTGGAGCATTTTTTCATATATTTACTTGCTGCTTTTACTTCTTTGTCTGAGAAATGTCTCTTCATTTCAGATGCCCATTTTTGAATTGGGTCTTTATATTTGGGGGGTGCTGGTTGTTTTGAGTTCTTTATATATTCTACATAATAGTCCTTTGTCTGAAGAGCAGCTGGTAAATATTTTTTCCCCACATTGTAGGTTGTCTCTTAGTTCTGCTGATAGTTTCTTTTGCAGTATAGAAGCTTTTTAACAAGTGAAATAAATAAGTCACACATGTGTAAATACCGAATAGTTTCTCTGGTGTGAATAAACTGTAATAATACATAAGATCTTAATAAGATTACTGACATTGTGAAATGGGAAGAAAGGGGCTAAAGGTGTACGGAAGGTGGGATGGGTAGGGGAAGGGTAATAAGGGAAAAAATGTGAGATAATGAAAAGATGGAAATAAAGTGTTTGTAGATGGGGAGAGGAGGAGGGGGTGAAGGGAAGGCAGGGACAAGGGGAAAAAATGAGAACCAAGACCTGTCATGTAGAGGTACAAGATCCCAACAATGAATGTAACTGTACTGTATCCCTAAATGTACCAATAAACTCAATTAAAGCTGAAAAAAAAAAAGCCTCTAATGGTTCTGATTAGTGACTTGGGAAGATGAAGATGCAATCGGGAGATGGAGTTACTTAATTCAATGTTGTTCACTTAGAATCTGAGATGCTATAAGGAAGGCATGTGTTTGGAAAAGCACATGCACTTGGATATAAGGGTCTGGAGACAGGGAGTGCAGGTCAGATCTGCTTTCCCTTCTGCTGTAGAACTCAACATGAAAATGACATCCTTCCATTTGGTGATCATTTATATTTTCTGTTAAATATCAAAGCAAAGAGAATCTAGATCTTGTCATTTTATTGCTCCACCCCAATAGCCTAATACCTTCTGCCATGTAATATGACCTGGGATCTAAGTAGTGAAAGAATGGAGGAGGAAAAGGAGTCATCTGACTGTGAAAACAACTCAAATGTCTGTCACCAACAGGAGACAGAGACAAACTATGGCCTTTTCAAATGCTGGAATCTTATACAGCAGTAAAAATACATAAACCACAGCTTCATGCAACATACATGCTTTTTGGAAACATGTTGAGTTAAAAAAATTACATCCAAGAAGACTAAGATTATTTTTATAAAGTTCAAATAAAATCAGTATTAAACAGTAAACTGTTTATAAATGTAACATAATGTTAACATGTTTTAAAATGCAAAGGAATGATGAGTATAAAACATAGGACAGTGGTTATCTGGAGGGGGAAATTGTTTTAAGTGGCTTCAGCAATATTGATAATGTTCTATTTCTTTGGATGGGTGCCAAATTTACTTTATGCTTTATACTTTACATATACATTACACACACACACCATATATATATTTAATCATGATAAATGACTTTTAAAGTCTCTAAGTTATAAAGATGCTACTGTACACCAAAGGCACATTTTAATCCTTAAAAATGATACTTCCCTAATACTGCAGGATTCTCATTTTTAGAAATCTTTCCAAACACAAAGATACTTTACAAACAAGGTGATATACTTTAGTTATTGGTGCCAACCATGAGTTTGTCCAATAATACAGTGCATTTGGTTAACACCACATCATAAATCACAGACCTTATAAAGTAACAACGACTTAAAATACATGTGCCTAGAGAAAAAATAAGCCCAGACATTTGAAAGACTGAAATGTAAAAGAACATGCACAAGCTATATAGACAGAGAACAGCACAGCAGTGTCCAGAATATGAGAAGCACAAAAAGAAAAGAAAAACTACTTAAGTATCAACAAACCAAACATTAACAAGGCACCCTGAAGTATAGAAGTAGATGTGCATGGTCTTGTTAAGCTATAAGCTACAGAAGGCATGAAATAATCATACAATTTAAAAATATTTATTGATTTTTTTTTTTTTTTTTTTGGTACCGGGGATTGAACTCGGGTCCTTGCGCTTGAAAGTCAGGTGGCAGAACCACTGAGCTAAATCCCCAGCCTAAAAATATTTATTGAAAGGATTCCCTGAAATATTACTTTAAAAAATACATGAAGACTGTCAAATATTCAAGGCTGGAGAAGATACTTACAAAGTCATCTCCTGAGTCAGCTCCCACAGATGCCACGGATTCCTTGCTCACAGACCGAGGGATCCTAGTAGCTCCTCCTGGCCTCTGAGCCACAGCAGTTTCTTCTGCAATTTTCTTTTTTAATTTTGCAAACATTTTTGCTGTGTGGCTATTCTGCACAGATGAGCTTTTGAACTACTCCAGTAATCTTCACTGATTGGGATTAGACACTGGTGTCTAAAATGTTTCAGGCACCCAAGTTAGATGGGAGTTCCACTTAAATGTGGTCCAAGGGCTTATGGCAAAACGGTATCTACGAAGCAGAGGAAAGAGACAGCTCTAGGTTAAACACTGGGATGATTCCACATCTGAGTTGCTATGTTACACTTCAGGTTTCAAAATTAAGTTTTGTAATTTAAATGTTTAGAATACAATTACTTAATATTTACAAAGCAGTCAGATGCTTCACTTGCATATACAGATGAGGAAATCCAGCCTCAAAGAGGTAAGGGAAACTGCCAATGACTGTGTGGCTAAGTGGCAGGGCTGGTATTTGAACTTTCTGACTCACAATTCTCAACTTTAAAAAAATGTTTTATTACATCACATATGCTACGGAACATGACACATGTAGGATGTAGTACATCTCCAGGTTAACATTGCAAAATCATGACTAATGCTTTCAATAGTGAATTTAGTCAGAGTTAAGGAATCTCAAACATGTGTCACTCAATGTGAGGAAAAGGTGTAATAATCTAATGTTCCAGATGTTTTGCAATCAGCTATTTTGTAGAAAAAGATTTATAACCTAGAACAGACAATAAACAGGTACTCATCAGATATCTTTTAACCTTTCATGACAATGTGTGGTTCTTTCAGTTTGATAAAATTATCCCAAATCACTATTTCTTTTCTTCAGAATGCTTGACATGGTACTTAACACGAAATTCAAAACATCTCTTCCTCCTCAATAGTGAATAACAACTCCCTCAAGAGCATCAACAGTGAATAATACAGTGATATTGTTCCAATATTAACTTTCCATGTTTTGTGGAGGATACCTAAACTTTAAGTTCTTCCAGATGACTTCTTGCCACTTCACATCATCCATTAAGTCTGTAAAATTCTTCAAAAACTTTACTTTCAATGTCTGTAAACCTCTTACTCACCTGGTTTATCAACTAGTTTTAAAACAGCCTGGATATCAGTGCATTTTGCCCTGTATGAAGACAAAGATAAAATGATTGGATATTTCAAGTGTAAAGCCTTAATGCTGGGTGGAAGTGAGAGAAGAAAGAGGAGGGAGGCAGGATTAAGTGGGGAAAGAAAACTTGTCAATACCATAACTCTCAGTGGCCTATCCTCCCTCATCCTGGTCTCCCACGAAATTTGTGATATAAAGCTTCACTTACAGGCACAGAAAAATAAAATCACTCACTGCAGGAGATGCCTAAATTCACTTCTCCATGGGAGTCCTGAACAAAACAACTTGAATGCGATTAAGGTTTCCCTGGGCTGGTATTTATTTCTCAGTTGATGTCCATACACATAGGCTGTTTATTTTGCCAGACTTTGCACTGTCTGGTCACAATCTTGATTCGTATTAAGACAGCCGCTGAGAAAAAGGACGGCAAAGTTGGGTAAAAGACAGATGAATAAAGTCCGGAGGTCCCTGCCAGCAGGGCAGTTTGTATCCTAACCCCCTCAGACTCCCTTCAGCCACGCCCTTGGTTGGACTGTCAAAGGCGGCGGGGCGGGGGTGCTCTCCAGCATTTCTCTCTTGACAGCAAAACTGGGCCCCAGTGGGGAGGATTGACTTATCCAAGGTCGCGCAGGGAGGACCCGGAACCCCAGGCTCCAGACTCCCAGGCCAGGGCAGCCGGCCTTCACCCCACCGTCGCCCTTTCAGCATCCCGGTCCCGCCCCCCGCCTGGGGTCTTGAACAACCTGGTCTAGAGCGCTTTGGGGGACAGAAGCTACCGAGAGAACCGGCGGCCTGCTCACG